CCCCTGGGCTCCAGCCAAGCCGACCTTGAGCAACCTCGTAATTGAGTCGAAGGGAAGCCCCTTCCCTTTGATCCCTCCCCCGCCGGGAGGGGGGGGGGGGGTGTCGACCCCCCCCCCGGGTCAGATACGACGCCCCCCCCTGGACTCCTCTTCCCTGGGCTCCAGCCAAGCCGACCTTGAGCCCTCGTAATTGAGTCGGAGGGAAGGCCCTTTTGATCCCTCCCCCGCCGGGGGGGGGGGGGGTCGACCCCCCCCCCGGGTCAGATACGGCGAGGGACTCCTCTTCCCCTGGGCTCCAGCCAAGCCGACCTTGAGCAACCTCGTAATTGAGTCGGAGGGAAGCCCCTTCCCTTTGATCCCTCCCCCGCCGGGAGGGGGGGGGGGGTGTCGACCCCCCCCCCGGGTCAGATACGACGCCCCCCCCTGGGACTCCTCTTCCCCTGGGCTCCAGCCAAGCCGACCTTGAGCAACCTCGTAATTGAGTCGAAGGGAAGCCCCTTCCCTTTGATCCCTCCCCCGCCGGGAGGGGGGGGGGGTGTCGACCCCCCCCCCGGGTCAGATACGACGCCCCCCCCTGGGACTCCTCTTCCCCTGGGCTCCAGCCAAGCCGACCTTGAGCAACCTCGTAATTGAGTCGAAGGGAAGCCCCTTCCCTTTGATCCCTCCCCCGCCGGGAGGGGGGGGGGGGTGTCGACCCCCCCCCCGGGTCAGATACGACGCCCCCCCCTGGGACTCCTCTTCCCCTGGGCTCCAGCCAAGCCGACCTTGAGCAACCTCGTAATTGAGTCGAAGGGAAGCCCCTTCCCTTTGATCCCTCCCCCGCCGGGAGGGGGGGGGGGGTAGCGACCCCCCCCCCGGGTCAGATACGACGCCCCCCCCTGGGACTCCTCTTCCCCTGGGCTCCAGCCAAGCCGACCTTGAGCAACCTCGTAATCTCTTGCTGCGCATTGCGAACAGGGTCGGCGGCACCGGCCGTCAGGCCTTCGCAATATATACTACACAAGTTTCCAACATAGTGTAACAGTGTAGCGGCGTAGTGGTCAATTAACAGATCCAGATTGCCCCCCCCAATGCCTTGTATTCGCTAACTGGCTTTTGGCTGACTCCATATATGTTCCTTCCTTCTGCGGTTGACTCAGCTATTTTGGTTATCTGGTCCATCGCGTTGTTCTGCACATTCGCTTGGTCCTCCAAACGTTCAACTCTTAACTGCAATTATGTTGCTTCCCCTTCCGCGTACATGTAGCGGGTCACGATGCTCAGAACTACGGAGGTCATTGTCTCTGTCATACATCGACACCCGTAACTTTCTTTATTGGTGGCAGTCCTGACACCTGTTGAAATTTGCCGTTCAATGAACTCCCTCATTGACTCATGATCAGCCCTTTGCGCCACCTTCACAAATAGTCGCCCCATAGTGCGCGGCTTCGCGCAGCTCGCTGATACTCGCCGGATCTAAGGGTGTGCGGGCGCGGCTGTTGCTGCTGCTGCTGCCGCTGCTGCCATTAACCTCGCTTCGCTACCATGCAAATCCTGGGGAAGGAAATGCACGGGAACGATTCAAATCTGATAGGCGATATGCTCAAGCAACGGAACAAAACGAGTGTGCCACTGTTGAATGCTCGAGCCAAACAGCGTCGGTAACGACGACTGTTCGACTTAACTACATGATGTGCTCCTCACCCAGTCGCAGGGCCATGTTCTAACAAGAAGAGGACATAAGAGGACTTCCTCCCCCTCCTCCTCCTCCTCCTCCTCCTCCTCCTCCTCCTCGTCTTTCTCCTCTCCCCCCTCCCCCCCTCGCGAAGAGGAGGCCTCCTCCTCCTCCTCCTCCTCCTCGTCCTCGTCCTCCCCAACTACATGCGGGCAGCGTCACGTCTGGAGGTCGGCGTCCTGCCCCCCCCCCTCGCCAGGGCGCCTGTCCGGCGAGAGGGTTGCGGATTCGGAAGCAGCGCTCGGGCGGAGCTGAGCACGGGCAGCAACGGTGGGCTGGCGTTCGCGACAACGGGGGCGACACGACCTCCTCCCGCTTTTCTGCCGACCACGCCCCCCCTAAGGCAGGGAGAGCGTCAAGGAGCCGACAGTAGGAGAACAAAAACAGCATTATCCTGGCGACGGACCCAACCATATGCAGTTGTGGGTACCTCAGTTGTAAATCTGTTCTTCGGTGGAGCTCCCTATGGGGCCACGAAGCGCTGCACTGGGTGGGTGGGAACGCATGCCGGCGGTAGAACTGGGGCCGTCGGGCAAACTCCCTATGGGGCCACGAAACGCCATACTGGGTGGGGTGAAAATGCCAAATTTGGCGTGTGGGACGCATGCGGGCGGTCCCACTGGCGGCTTCGGTGGAGCTCCCTATGGGGCCACGAAACGTATGAGGGGTGTGCCACATCTGGTTTCCAGGACGCATGCGGACGGTCCAACTGGGGGCTTCGGTGGAGCTCCCTATGGGGCCACGAAGCGCTGCACTGGGTGGGGGGGAACGCATGCGGGCGGTAGAACTGGGGCCGTCGGGCGAACTCCCTATGGGGCCACGAAGCGCCATACTGGGTGGGGTGAAAATGCCAAATTTGGCGTGTGGGACGCATGCGGGCGGTCCCACTGGCGGCTTCGGTGGAGCTCCCTATGGGGCCACGAAACGTGTGAGGGGTGTGCCACATCTGGTTTCCAGGACGCATGCGGACGGTCCAACTGGGGGCTTCGGTGGAGCTCCCTATGGGGCCACGAAGCGCTGCACTGGGTGGGGGGGAACGCATGCGGGCGGTAGAACTGGGGCCGTCGGGCGAACTCCCTATGGGACCACGAAGCGCCATACTGGGTGGGGAGAAAATGCAAAACTTGGTGTGTGGGACGCATGCGGGCGGTCCCAGTGGTGGCTTCGGTGGAGCTCCCTATGGGGCCACGAAACGTATGAAGGGTGTGCCAAATTTGGTTTCAGGGACGCATGCAGACTGTCCCACTGGGGGGTTCGGCGGAGCTCCCTATGGGGCCACGAACCGTTGTACTGGGTGGATTAAAATGCCCAGTTGGGTTTCCGAGACGCATGCGGACGGTCCCACTGAGGGCTTCGATGAAGCTCTCTACGGGGTCACGAAACGCCGTAGTGGGTGGTGTGAAAATACCGAAATTGTGTTTCAGGGACGCATGCTGACAGTCCCACTGGGGCTTCGGTGGGGCTCTCTATGGGGCCACGAAACGCCGAACTGGGTGGGGTGAAAATGCCAAATTAGATTTCCGGGACGCATGCTGACAGTCCCAAGGGCTTCGGTGGGGCTCTCTGTGGGGCCACGAAGCGCTGTACAGGGGGGGGGGACGCATGCAGACGGGGGACGCATGCGAACGGCAGCACTGGGACCTTCGGCGGGGCCCCCTGCGGGGCTACGGGACGCTGTACTGGGCGTGGGGGACGCATGCGGACGGTAGCACTGGGACCCTCGGTGGGGCACCCTATGGGGCCACGAAGCGCTGCACACTGTGGGGGGGGAACGCATGCGGACGGTAGCACTGGGACCTTCGGTGGGGCTCTGCGGACGGTAGCACTGGGACCTTCGGTGGGGCTCCCTATGGGGCCACGAAGCGCCGTACTGGGTGGGGGGGACGCATGCGGACGGTAGCACTGGGACCTTCGGTGGGGCTCCCTATAGGGCCACGAAACGTGTGAGGGGTATGCTGAAACGGGTGATGATGATGATGATGATGATGATGATGATGATGATGATGATGATGATGATGATGATGATGATGATCATGATGATGATGATGATGATGATGATGATGATGATGATGATGACGATGATGATGATGATGATGATGATGATGATGATGATGATGATGATGATGATGATGATGATGATGATGATGATGATGATGATGGTGATGGAAGAGGGAGAAGAGGGAGGAGGAGAGCAGAGGAGGAGGAGAACGCGGGGCGACGTCTCTTCAAAACGAGGACCCGACACCACAGGATGGTTGGGAATAAACATGAACTGTTGGAGGTCTGCGCGAAGCTCCAAGAGTGAATGTGTACTCCGTCTTCTCCTGCGAGACGAAAACGTCCGACCAAAAGCCCTGTGCCTCTGCGACCGCCCCACCGATCGGTGCCCTGCCTTTCCTCGCTGCCCCTTCGCGCTCCCGCGCGAGGTCCACCGCGCGTGGGCCCCCCTCCCCCGGGGGCGGGCCTCGCCGGCCCGCCCCCGGAGACGGACAACCCTCGCCGCCGCCGCCGCCCAACGTCGCCGCCCGTACTCCAACGTCGTCCGCCATCGCCGTCGTCCTCGTCGGTCATTCTTATCGCCGTCGCGTCCGTCGTCCGTCTGGCCGCCTCTGTCCGTTGACCGTCGCCCGCCCGCCTGCCACCCGCCCACCCCGTGAGCCCAGGGATGCACGGTGGTTGCGTGGGTGTGGGAAGGCTTCGGGTTGCGCGCAGGCAGCTCGGCCAGGTTGTCCCAGCTGGCCTCAACAGGGCCCCCAGTAGTCCAGGGCGGTCTGAACACCCCGACCCTTGGGCGTGTTGAGACCGCCCTGGACTACTCGGGAGGCCTGTTGAGGCCAGCTGGGACTACCTGGGGGGGACTTTTTGCGCGCGACCCGAAGCCTCACCACGTTAGCGTCTTACCTATCCGAAGCCTTACCACGTCGGCGTCTTGCCGTACAAGTACCCATACTGCGACTCCTCAGACCTCTCCCCGGGTGCGTTACGACTAGAATCTGTAAGCGGATCCAGCCGTGGGGACGAGCAGCTGTGTCGGTATCTTTTCCACCTCTGACCCCCTGAGCCAATCCCCGTCCCCGGTCCGGTGGTTTTTATGAGCCGCAACTCGGGCCTACGGCGACCATTTGGGACGATCCGGGCTCTCCTGGGAAGCTCTCCGCGAGGCGCGGCTGCTGGAAGGCATCCCGAGACGGAGAAGACCGCCGAGAACCGAGGAAGACGCCCGAGAGCCTCGAACCTCGAAGCTCCTCTGAACTTCTCTGCACTTCTGCCCCGCGGCGTCCCGCGCCTGACTCAGGGGCCTCGGCGGCGGCGTAAAGTGCACGTGGGGCAGGCTCGCCTCCTCGTCGCCCGGCAGCGCGGCCGCGGTGAGGGCAGCGTCGTCGTCACGGGGGCTCCGCCAGGGCCTCGGCGCCGCTGGGACCTTGCGCGACTCGCAGACGTCGTCGTCGCCATCGCGGCCGTCGTCCCCGCAAATCCCGGTGTTGCTACTTTTCACGCCTGGCGACTTGGCCCGCTTCGGGCCCCGGGACCATCACAGATCGATCCGGCAGGAAAGATGCCGCAGAAAGGTGAGGTCTAGGGCTCTGGTCGTGATATCCGCGATGTGATATTCTTCGCAACGTCGGATCTCAGGGTAATCGTCGATGTCGGCGGAGACGTCGTCGTCAGCGGCGTCGTCGTCGTCGTCGGCGGCGGCGGTGGTGTCGTCGGCGGCGTCGGAGTCGTCGGCGACATCGTCGTCGGCGTCGTCATCGTCAGCGTCGTCGGCGGCGCCGTCGTCGGCGGCGGCATCGTCGTCGGCAGCGTTTGCAGCAGTGGCGTCGGCGTCGTCGTCGACGGCGTAGTCGTCGACGTCAGCGGCGGCATCGGCGGCGGCGTTCTCCGTATCCCCCTCCCTTCTCCGTCCTCCTCCTCCTCCTCCTCCTCCTCCTCCTCCTCCTCGTCCTCCTCCCCCGTCCGCCCCTGTGCTTCCCTAGACATCCAGAGCCTGGAAAAAACGAGGAGGCTGGCTTGTCGTCATGCCTCTGGAGGCCAAGTTCAAACCTCATAACCATCAAAAATTAGCCTGGCGAAGGACCCAACCACATGCAGCTGCGAGTACCGCACGGATATGGGACGAAGGAGGGGGCACGCAAACTAGGCCCCTCTTCTCATAGGCACCGCGCCACTGGGGCCTTCGGTGGAGCTCCCTATGGGGCCACGAAACGTGTGAGGGGTGTGCCGAAATGGGTGGTGGGGAGGCATGCGGACCCTGCCACTGGGGCCTTCGGTGGAGCTCCCTATGGGGCCACGAAACGTGTGAGGGGTGTGCCGAAATGGGTGGTGGGGAGGCATGCGGACCCTGCCACTGGGGCCTTCGGTGGAGCTCCCTATGGGGCCACGAAACGTGTGAGGGGTGTGCCGAAATGGGTGGTGGGGAGGCATGCGAACCCAGCCACTGGGGCCTTCGGTGGAGCTCCCTATGGGGCCACGAAACGTGTGAGGGGTGTGCCGAAATGGGTGGTGGGGAGGCATGCGAACCTGCCACTGGGGCCTTCGGTGGAGGTCCCTATGGGGCCACGAACGTGTGAGGGTGTGCCGAAATGGGTGGTGGGGAGGCATGCGGCCTGTGGGGGCTTCGGTGGAGCTCCTATGGGCCACGAAAAGTGTGAATGCCGGGTGGTGGGGAGCATGCGGACCCTGCCACTGGGGCCTTCGGTGGAGCTCCCTATGGGGCCACGAAACGTGTGAGGGGTGTGCCGTGGGTGGTGGGGAGGCATGCGAACCCTGCCACTGGGGCCTTCGGTGGAGCTCCCTATGGGGCCACGAAACGTGTGAGGGGTGTGCCGAAATGGGTGGTGGGGAGGCATGCGAACCCTGCCACTGGGGCCTTCGGTGGAGCTCCCTATGGGGCCACGAAACGTGTGAGGGGTGTGCCGAAATGGGTGGTGGGGAGGCATGCGAACCCTGCCACTGGGGGCCTTCGTGGAGCTCCCTATGGGGCCTGTGCCGAAATGGGTGGTGAGGAGGCATGCGAACCCTGCCTTTGGGGCCTTCGGAGCTCCCTATGGGGCCACGAAGCGTGTGAGGGGTGTGCCGAAATGGGTGGTGGGGAAGCATGCGAACCCTGCCACTGGGGCCTTCGGTGGATCTCCCTATGGGGCCACGAAACGTGTGATGGGGTGTGCCGAAATGGGTGGCGGGGAGGCATGCGAACCCTACCACTTGGACCTTCGGTGGAGCTCCCTATGGGGCCACGAAGCGTGTGAGGGGTGTGCCGAGATGGGTAGTGGGGAGGCACGCGAACCCTGCCACTGGGGCTTTCGGTGGAGCTCCCTATGGGGCCACGAAACGTGCGAGGGGTGTGCCGAAATGGGTGGTGGGGAGGCATGCGAACCCTGTCACTGAGGCCTTCGGTGGAGCTCCCATATGGGGCCACGAAACGTGTGAGGGGTGTGCCGAAATGGGTGGTGGGGAGGCATGCGAACCCTGCCACTAAGGCCTTCGGTGGAGCTCCCTATGGGGCCACGAAACGTGCGAGGGGTGTGCCGAAATGGGTGGTGGGGAGGCATGCGAACCCTGCCACTGGGGCCTTCGGTGGAGCTCCCTATGGGGCCACGAAGCGTGTGAGGGGTGTGCCGAAATGGGTGGTGGGGAGGCATGCGAACCTGCCGCTGGGGCCTTCGGTGGAGCTCCCGATGGGGCCACGAAACGCGTGAGGGGTGTGCCGAAATGGGCGGTGGGGAGGCATGCGAACCCTGGAGGGAGGAGGGCGAGGAGGAGGAGGAGGAGGAGGAAGAGGAGGAGAGGAGGGGAGGAACGCGGGGCACCGTCTCTTCAAAACGAGGACCCAACACCACAGGATGGTTGGGAACAACTCGGGACGGAAAAACGAGCCCTGGGGAAGACGTAGAGAAGTCCGAGGGGCGAAGCATCGAAACAGTACCCTGACGAAGTACCCAACCCTTACGCAACGCGTGGCCATAAGAGCTGGGGGGAGTTTTTTGTTCGGGGTGATGACGTGACACGCGCTTATCTTTGTTGCGAACGCTACCTGGGGGGCTCTCGAGCTGCGCGAGCCGCGAGCTGCCAGCACGTCCACATCTCTCAAAAGTGGCGTCAGCTTCGCAACTTGTAGTCCTCTCGTGGATGGCGAGGTCCCGTTCGAATCTGCGCAGTATCGCACTAAGCTGCTCCCTGGCAGCCCTCGAGAAAGGCGACGTCATCGCAGTTCGCAGCCTCCCAAGGATGGCGAGGTCTCGCTCAGATCTGCGTAGCACCGCACTAAGCTGGGCCTCCTCCAGCAGCCCTCGAAGGTGGCGAGAGTTTCGCAGATCGCAACACCCCAGGGATGGCGAGGTCCCGCTTCCAAAGCTAGAGCACCCAGCGGCCCTCGAACGTGGCGACGTTCTCGCAATTCGCTCCCCCCCCAGAAGGCGACGACCCGCTCTGATCTGCGTGGCACCGCACCAACTTACTCCCCTGGCAACCCTGGAAAGTGGCGACAGTTTCGCAGATAGGTGCGCCCCAGCGATGGCGAAGTTCCGCTCTGATCTGCTTGGCACCGCACTAAGTCGGATCCCCAGTAAACCTTCAAAAGCGGCGAAAGTTTCGCAGATCGCAGCGCCCCAGAGATGACAACGTCCTGCTCTCATCTGCTGAAAGCCGCACTAAACTGGACCCTCCAGCAGCCCTGGAAGGTGTGGCGACCGTTTCGCACATTGCAGCCCTCCAAGGATGGCGAGGTCGGAGGCAGGTACGAGGGAGGTGCGAGACAAGAGGAGAGATTTGTTTGTCTGTCGAGCAAGGCCTGCTGTGCTGAGCGCGGCCTGCGCGGCCTGCTACCTTAAGGCAGCACGCGCATCGCGCGAACTACGCACCTCGCAGAGGAAGGACAGAAGGGTCACGGGGTGAACCCAGAGCGCTGTCAGAGGCAAGAGGGAGCGAGGAGAAGGGGGTAGCGAGAACGGCCTGAGCCAGCTGAGCCGGCCGATCCGACAGCCTAGCCGCAAGCGTCGAGAGCGACGCTGTCGCCCCCATGGACCCTGTCAGCGGCACCGTCCCAAGACGCGAGTCAAATACGAGACCCGTCCACCGGCGCCGGCCGATCGTCCGTGAGCGACTGGCCGCTCCAAGGGTCTCGCGACTCCCATTAACGATTTTGTCGAAACGCCGTGGCCGAGCCTCGCACGACGCCCCCCGCTCAGGCCTTGGCTAGGGAGACGGCGTTCTGGCGAGAATAGCTGCCGCAAGCGCTACATCATAAATATTGGTGCGCCGTCCATAGCCTGCGCCGCCCCCCTTCAGCCCCGCACTTGGCTAGGAGGCTCGATGGGGCAAGGCCGCTGCGCGTGCGCCGCGTGCAGCGACGCCGCCCGTGCAGCTTTGCAAGGTCGTGGCGGCCGTCAGCCTGGGCGCCGCGCATGGGCGCAGAAAGCACCTCCCTCTCCTCCTGGGCCCCTACTGCGATCCTGCTGGGGATCAGGAAAAGTGCGGGGGAATCTCCCGAATACCTCGCCAACCACCTGTTCAACTTGGCGCGCGCCCGTGGCCCTCCTCTCGGCCTCGCAACTTCAGGGGTGGAGGGCGGCGCCTGCTCTGGCCGCAGAGTCGGCCTGCGAATTGCCCAGGCAAATATCGAGCATCGCCCAATTGGACATCATCCGCGACTTTGGTATGCCCTTCGACCTTGCGGAGTTGAAACCCAAACTCGAGGTCGTCGAAAGCATCCCAAATCAGCGTCCACAAGTCGGTCGCCACGCAGCCCGGGTGAGCGGTTTCCGCCCCCCGTTTGGCAAGGGAGGTGACGACCCATAGACAGTCAGAGGAAAACGTGATAGCCCGCACCCCGATGCCTGAGACACGCTAGCAGGGCCCAACTTTCGGCGACCTCCGAATCCTGCAGCGGGCAGGGCACTGGGCCGTGCATCATACAGAACACCGCGGCTAGAGGGTCGATCTGCGCCAACCCCCAACCCGCCCCACTCACCACATGTTCCCTTGCACGAGTGATGACGCCGCGCCGTTGCCGAAGACATCTTCCTCCAGGAAACCTCCATGAGGCCGAAACTGCCAGCGCAAGGGGGATTCAGAGGCTGGGGGGGGGAAGGGGCGCGGGTCGGGCACGAGGGCGCGGCGCCACAGGCACCGCTCGGGGTGCGCACGCTCGGCCGATCTCACTCTCACAATCATGCCATAGTCGCGTGGCCACGTCCATGTGGCCAGGCAGTCGCCCCCTGCATGCTGCGGGGTGCCCCGTGGCCCGCCGTAGTACGGGCAGCACCCAGACGACTGCAGCCCTGCAACGTGCCGTCGAGCAGCGTCCCAGATGCCGTTCCCGACGATCGCCCGCACGGGGCCACCGTGGCGCCGGCTCCAATCCGCGCCCGGAGAACGCGCGGCCAACGACCGCAGAGGCTCCAGGTACAGTTCGTGCTGCAG